CATCTAAGAAATGTCTGCCCAACCTCAGCCCCTCGGTTCTCCCAGTCTGCTTTTCCAGAGGCCCTGATAGATCTAAAAGCACTAATCCTTTCCCCACACACCTCATCCCTCAGCTCCCTGAGCCAGAGGTCTCAGCCTGCAGAGCCCAGTTCCATCCAGCCCACCTTCCCATGCCAAACCCACGCATTCATCCCGACCTTTCATCCCCTCCCTGTTCAACAATCCTTCCCACACATCCTTCCTGCCTCGAGCTCCCCACACTCCCACCACAGGGCTGGGTCATTCACAAGGGCAGGTCAGAACTCAGTGCAAGCACGACCCTTGGACTCTGTAGGATTAGGAGGTATAAAGGAGAACGCTGCCCATATTGGTGCGTGCATGACTTGAGGAAGGTTGCACCATCCCACGGTGCCCTCCAGGTGCTTCCAAACTCCTGCTCTTCAGCCCCCTCCTCTGGTGGCCTCAACCACACCGAGCTTTATTGCTGTTTGGGATTCATTTTTTTCTGCTGATTTTCTAAATAGCAAAATGCTGGCACATGCTTCTGATAAACAATAAAAAGAAACGCGTCCCAGAAATGGGATGTCAGCTGTGCTCTGCCTGCCCAGGAGAGGATATAACCAGAAAAACTGGCTGCGTTCCCCTAAGGTAGGAGATATTTGCATGCACACATCTCATGATGGAAAGAGTCAGCACCCCAAAGGCTGTGTAATCCAAATAGCGGTACAGAATATGAAGTAGGAGAGGGAGGGGAAAAAAAAACCATCTCACTGCCCCCATTCTGAGAAGCCTGAGGAACACCACTGCAGAAGGAGGGGACAACTTACATCACAGGAAAACTGCAGAAGAGCCAAATCCCAAATCCCACTTTGGGGACTTAACCTCAGCCTATTCTGTGCTTTCTGTTTAGTGTTAACAAAGAAAACAGTATTTCCCTGGATTTCAGTTGTAAGCGATACTGCTGGATTTGCTGCCCAGTCATGAAATGTTCCAGGACTGGGAAGAGCAGATGAAGCTCCAGTGAGTCATGAGCAGACACTGTCTCATTGATTGCTCTGGTTGTACAGGGTCACCTCCTGCCCTCTATGCTGCCCTTATTGAGGTCAGGCCCAAAATACCTTGGTGCCTTCCTACAGCATTCTGTTGTTTTGTTCCTTCTCAACACAACCTTGCAGAAAGCCAGCTCATGACCTGGTCACTGGGTCCACAAGCCAGACACACACTTTCCTGAGCTGTTTCAGGCATGTTTCCTAAGGAGGAACATCCCATTCCTCTCTGTTGGCCATTTAGAGCCTGAACAGTAGATGTAGGTGTAGCTGCCTCCACTGTAGATGTCTGAGCTTAAGTGAACTCCAGCTGAAGTGCACGGAGACATTCCTCGTGCTCAGGAATAGGTTAAACAAGTCATCAGGTATGGAAAGCTGAGCTATAGGAGATGGAAGGGAGAAGCAGCCCAGACTTTAGCCTTGATCCAACAGGTTGCTAGAGGATGAGGTTCAGGATCCTCCGTCCAAGAATGTTTAACACAGACTGTACAGACAGCCTTTGGGATGATGGTTTCCAAAGCTAGAACCCGCATCATGCAGAGTAGGTGAGAAGAAATGACTTGAATCTCCCGGTCCTTGTTGTTGTTTTCTTGTTTTGGTGTTATTTTTTCCTATTTATTTCTGCACCTTCCCTAATCCGTCAGCTCACTGACCAACAGCCCATTTCTTATTCCCTCCCCATCTCTCCTACGCACCGCAGAGCCTGACCGATGGTGGCAGACGCTGCAGCTCAGGCACCTCCCTCTCCCCAGAGCCCCTTGACACAAAAGACAAAGCAAGGCCTGTGCCAGCATCACCAAACGACATCATTCCAGGCCGGGAAATGTCACAGTTTCTTCTGGAACGAGCAGGAGAGGCTCTGGGCAGCAGAATGCCTGGCTTTGTGCAGGAGCAGAACGCACCTCCCTCACCCTCTGCCACTCTCCCACCCGCCTTCCCAGCTCCCAACTTTCAGCCCTTTCAACACCCACAGTCTTTCCACTCGGCCTCTAAGTGATGAGAAATTCCCTGCCAGAGGACACGGTTCAAATGGGTTATTGAAAAGAAAAGCAATTCCCTACTCTGGGTGAACAAGCTCCTTCTTTTCCCCTTGAGGAAGAAGGGTAATAGCACAGCCAGAAAGGGAAGTTAAAAACCCCAACCATCCCCAAAGCCTGTTATAATATTAAATAAGAGACCAAAGGGGTTTGGCCAGGAAAATCCCAAGTTCAAAAGAATAATTGCTCTGAGAGATTTAAGCCTAAAGCTGAGTCACTGAAATGAAGAAACATCTCCTCGTCCATAGAAAGCAAACAAATCTTGGGTCGTGCTGCAACGCTTCCGTATGTCCTTGTTAGAAAGAAAGAAAGAAAGAGGAGCCAAATGCAATTAATCACTGGCTCAGAAGAAAGGATGAGATCTCTCTAATTAACTACCTTAGGCTCATCTTTCTGCTTTTGAAAACTAATCCAGCCTCCTTCTCTCACCCTTCACCTGCAGCACCAACGCAAAAGCCTGCTAGAAGTACAGGGTCACCTCTCCTGTGGTGCATACACATCTGCTGCAGCTTTCCAATGAAAGAGCATAGTAAACTTTGTGCTGCACACCACAGAGATGTTTTTCTCAGCCCCTTTTGTGTCTGGGCTGTGACGGACTCTGCATGCTCACCAATAACATGAAGACCTCAGGTGAACTACAGGAGTTGGTTTCAAGCTAGGTATTATATCCACTATCCTAATCCAGCTGTCGAATGACCAGAAAACTTCAATTAAAAAGCACATCAACATGAAAGCACTCCCCAAACAATTATCACAAGCAGTTGTAATTTTAACTAATTGCTTTATATCTGATCCTCGGGTGGTTTAAATCTGTCTGACCATCACTCTGCCCACAGAAAGCTCATTCTCCACGGCTGCATGCAGTTTGTTCAGAGGTGAGAGGACAGGGCTACGTATTAAGAGTAAGCCTTCAAAAAATTAAGTTCAAGAGGGTGAAGCCAACTGGCAAGCAGCTCTTCCATTTGCAAAAGGCAAAGCTACATTTCACAGATGATTTCTTTGCTGTATCATCATTCAAAACTTTGGAAAATGGGGGGAAAAAAACACAGCACTTCAGAGAAGAGGAAAGGCTGGAGCTGGTGGCTACAGCTGATTGGCGGAGATCTGGAGCTGACATCCAAAAAGGCCCACATAAATCAGTACAAGTCACTCAGTTTTCCCTTCTCGGGACTCCCTTGGTAAATAAGAGCCAATAAATACTAGCCTAACAATGAAAAAAAATAACAGACCAGCTCTTTAGGTCAAGTACATCAATGGTAAATACAATACAGTGGAATAATAGCAACATGACATCAGCCAAGGAACCAAGAATGACTTCTACCCCCTCTCATGTATACAAACCACTACTAACATATGAATAATGCTGTCAACAGTCTGGGAACGCTCTGTAGCAACGGAGGGCAAAGAATGCCAAATGGACAGAAATCTCCAGCTTTGCTCATCTGTGACATGGCAGAAATATTTATTTTCAAAGAAGTCAATTGGGGCATTTGTCTATGAGAAAGGGAAGTGATTACACAGCTCCAATACAGCTGGAGTCTTCCTGCCTCACTATGGGAAACGGGAAGGGATGCACCAACAGGGACAGTGATCCCTGGATGTATCCTTAACACGACACCCACTCCTTTCCCTTCAGGACAACGTCACAGACACAGCCGGAGGCCACTGGTGATGCTCCAAGGGCCGTTCTATGAGATGGCAGAAGCAGCAGCCACGAACTGTGGGCTAAAGCTGCCCTCCGCCGGATGAACGGACGCGGATGGGAAGGGTTTGTTAGTGACATCAGTTGCAGAACGAGCCGACGGTGACACCTAGCGGGCACAGCGACCAGCGGGGCACGGATTGCTTCCGAGGCAAGCGCCATGCCTGGAAACCGGCTTTGTTCAAACACGTATGCACGCACATTATATATATATAACCCTTCACCTGCACTACCGAACAGCTACAGTACTGCCAGAGGTTGAAAAATAAATGATTTCCATGCTAAAATGAGCCTGCAAAAGCAAGCGTCCGTAAGAAAAACAAAGTCATATAAATGCTCAAAAGGTTGCAAAGGCTTCTCCCCACCACGTTTACAGAAACACAGGGGGTTTTCCCTAGAACATAATGGCCACATGCATTTCCCTGCCTGCAGAGTTCGCCAACACACTGCAGATTTTACTAACAAAAAAACAATGACTGGTAAATTCAATGCAACCAGGAATTTCTTCTTTATTGCAGCACATAGAAGGTGACAGCCTGCTACACCATGCCAGGCACTAGAAAGCACACAGAAGAACAGCAGGTGTGAGCTCTGACCTCCTCCATCTCCTTCCCTCCGCATCCCAGCTTTGCTTTCCTTTTCCCTGACATCTTTCTCCATACCGAGCATCCTTCAAAGGGCATCAATCTCTGCAAGAATTTCACTCTGCATCAGGTTACCATTTCTCAATTGTACAACATTGTTAGAGGTAGGCTATGCAGTGCACGCTGCTTTTCAGCACACGTAGCTCCAGACAAAAGCTGGGAGACAGGCTCCATTTCTCACTTCAGCCTCTTTCCATACACATCTTTGCTACTGTTAAAAAAACTGGCTTGTTTGTTTGTTTGTTTAAAACAAGGCCTCCATAAAAACACAGCAAGTAGTTCTTCACAGCAACACAGATAGCAAAATACTGAGTTCTGGTGTGAGCCCCTACTGCATCAGCATGGCAAGGAAGGGTCTACAGCTGAGTTACTCAATTTGAGTGCTATTCACAATGGAACACAAAGATGCCTTTCAGCAGGGGTCAGGTTTGAAACGTTCTTTGCCTAATCAACCCTTAATGTTAGCAAAAAAGCTGTTAGCTCAAGTTAGAGAGGCCTTCTGGCCACTCTGAATCCTACAAGCTTTGTTCATGTTGCAAGCAAAGCTGCACCAAACAAACGAATTACTCACCCAAATTTGGTGGAGAGGACCCCTCCCAGGGCAGAGCCGATGATGATTCCTACTCCAAAGCAAAGACCCAGCTTCCCCAAGGCAGCAGCACGTTCAGAAGGAGCCGTCAGGTCTGTGATGACCTTCTGAGCACCTGTAAGGAAACAACCACTTAAAAGAAGCCTGCTGCAGTGCCCAAGCAATGTGTGCAAGTTTATAAGTCACCGAATCAAAATCATTGCGAGGTTGGAAAAGACCTCTAAGATCATGAATCTCAACCACCAACCATTTCCACCATGCCCACTGACCATGTCCCTGAGGGCCCACCTCCACAGCTCTTAAACCCCTCCATGGACAGAGACTCTACGACCTTCCTGGGCAGTCTGTGCCAGTGTCTCATCAGCACCTGTCACAGAACGGTCCTCTAAGCTCTGTGCTCATGCACACCACCAGAAGAAATTCATTCCATCTATAAGTTGGAGAAAGGGACACTCCAACCCTTTCACAAGGCTGACTCCCTACCAGCACAGATCATCTTGCATGACTCACACAGGCTCCCAGTAGCTAAAGCTGGTGGTACAGCTTTTACTAGAACCATCTAGGAAAGTCAGACTAAAGCAGAACAACTTGGTGGGAAGAGTTGGAAATAAAAGCCATTTTTGTGACTGCATACTGACGTGACTAATTCACTCGTTTTAGCAGCGGAAATGGAAAAGGCTTGCTACAAAACTTCTGGTTGCAAAAAAGCAGCTGGGAAGGTCAGGATAGGGCTGCTGCTGGTAAACATTTTGCTGTCAACGTTCAAATGGCAATACCCAAGCAGTATTCTCAAGATCATTCATGAGCACAGATCTACAGAGAAGAAGCCCTGCTTTCTAGAGCTACACTGGGTTCTACAGTGCTATAGTACTGTAATGTGATGAAAAACATAGCAGCAAGGTCCTAGGCTGCAGCAAGTGAGAATCTGCTCAAATGTAACAGCTGTGAGCACAGAAATAAAGGGAAGAATTTGCTTACCTTTGGAAGCCCTCAGGTAGGCAGGAATCTCCAACAAGATCCCCTTGCCTCCACTGCCAACCCTTAAAAGAGGTCTGGGAAGGGGTGGATCCTGGCTCCACCCTTTCCAGTCACTCAGGTGCATTGCATACACATGAGCTCCCCTGGGTTAGCCCTGCCTGCCCACCAGGTGATCAATCACTGCTTCAGGCCATGACTTAGCATTTCCACTATAAGAACCATTACAGCTGTTTCACACATTCATTGTTTCAGTCCTAGTGCCCAACAGATGTTCTTTCATGCTGCTGGCTTGCAGTAACATGAGCACAAAAAAAGAGAACTCTGGCAATAAAAATAATCTGGGAAGTCTCTCACAGCCCCAACCAATCTTACCTGGCAGCCCATGCATGAACACTGATGGTAGCCTGGAGAGAAAGAGGATGGGGATGCTGGTGGAGATGGACAGGAGCAGAAAGAAGGCACTCGCCGATGCACAGGAGAGAGTTAAGGCAGCTCTGTTACCAAACTGATCTGCAAACCTAAAGCAGAATTGGTGAGAGGCTGTAAGAAGTGGGATTGTACAGTTCCAGGGGAATGAAGCTGTTCAGCAACCTTGGCCACATTCACTGGTCCCCTGCAAGAGCTGATGGGGCTTCCAAGAATGAATTTACTTTGCAACTCTGAATCTGTTCAGACCAAGGAATCAGGCTAGATGATTTTTTTTTAGTCCAGATTCAGTGATAACTGAAGCTGTTCCAGTTTATTTCTAGCAGTCTTGCACACAGGAAAATCCTTTTCTTCTCAAACGTACATCAAAAATTTTGGCTTCAATCTGGCAACATATACCTTCAAACCCATCTACACCATTGGCAATCCACACACATATGCATCTTTGTCTTTTCCTATTCCCTTCAGTGCCTTTTCTGGACATTGGAGGAAAAACAGATTTGGGATGTACCAGGTACAGACCAGAATCCCATGAAGGGACAACAAAGCACATAACAGCACCTTATACATGTATCACTGCTGATCAATAGCAGGACTAAGGAGAAAAGCTAGCTTTCCTCAGTCTTACTTGAGTTTCCCATCACCACACTGCTTGTTCAAGTTTTTCTGCCCTTTGGGAAGAGGCTCCCCACAGTCACTCTAGGATTTTTCTTGCTATTCACACTTCTTTAGGAACAGGAGCTCATGTCCCATGAGACAGGCTTTTCCCACTCTTTTCCTCTTTCTGTAGATGAGCTTGTAGATAGAACAGTTCTTAAAAATGCACATAAACTCAAAGGAATTTTAACTTTCTATTAAACTCTGACTTAAATTCAGGGATACGTGGCCATAGAAATAACATGACCTACAGTCTTTTCATTGACAGCTCTACTTAACATGAATAAATACCTTTTTTTTCCCCTAGGTTCCCCAGTCAGAGGACATTTCTAAGGTTACAAGTGGCTATAAAATGCTTGCAAGATTAAGCCATTAGGGCCTAGGCTCTGAGGTCTCGGATGGCTTAAGCCTGTTCCCAGTATATTGTTACACTTAAATGTGTGCCATTAAAACATAGCTATGCTAACATAAAGGCTGCTTCTATGTTGCAGTATTTCTAATTAGAGTGTATTTATTTTCCCCTTGGTCTGTTATGAAATCTTCAAATATTTCAGCGGGACCATGAAACAGAACTAAACTTTTTATTGTTATTATTAAAATATAAGAGATTGGCCTTTTTCAACCATGAAAAGGGTCATGAGTATTGTTCTCACCTTCCAAAAATGGGACCTCCCACGAGCTGGAGGACACCAAAGGTTGTCTGGAGGTACCCAAACCCCACCGAATCCAAACCCAGGTTCTTTGCCAAGTACTAAAAAAAGAAAAATACAAAAAGCAATGGGTCAGGGGAAATGAAACATGCTACATTTCTGAATAAGGAGCTTCACAGCCGCATGTAAAGGACCAGAGATCCAAATTCTGAAGGAAGTTGCTTCCTTCAGCTTCCTCTACCTACACATGAAATCTTTATCATAGAATCATTAAGGTTGGAAAAGATCTCCAAGATCATCAAGCCCAACCATCAACGCACCACACCATGTGCACTGAACCATGCCCTCAGTGCCACATCTCCATGTTTCTTGAACACCTCCAGAGGTGGTGACTCCATCACCTCCCTGGGCAGCCTGTTCCAGTGTATCCCCTTTCTCTCAGAAAAGGTAGTGAATAAACACAAAGTCTCTGGCCTACACCATCTACTAAGAAAAATCAGCAGGATGTGATCAAAACCATCAGTTTTGCACCAGGTGACAAATCAGAATCACTTCTCACGCTCGTGGTCCAACACAGCTAACTTTGAGGCAGGCTCTAACATTCCTGTTCTGCCAGTGAGGATGGGCTATTAAACAGCCTTCAGAAAAAAAAAACAAAGTAAACCTGGAAGAGCCACTTGCACCAAAGGCAAGAAGTGCTGTGCCCAGCAACCCATACTCACAGGCATGACTCCAAACTGCATGAACAGCAACGTCAGCTCCAGGGTTACTATCAGGTAGGCAGCAAGGATCACCTGGCCCCTCCTGACCTCTCCCGCGGCATTGCTCTGCCCCCAGCTCTCACTCTTCATCCTCCCGGCTCTTTCTTCACCCTCTGGGCTGTTTTTTCCACTCACGGTGCTCATGGAGTGACTTAAGGCAGGCTGAAATAAGATGTGGAGGTGCGCTCTGGCTGGGAACGCAGAGCATACGAAAGGTGCAAAAGCTGTGTTTGCAGTTCAAAGTGTAAAGATGCTGAGTCACCAGGCCGGGGATTGTCTTTACCTTTTCCTTCTCTCCTCCCCTTTTGTCAAGCAGGATCAGAGGCAAACTCTCACTGAGTCCCAGATCTCACTGCTCAGCCTTGTCCTGGTGGGATGGCTGCATCGAGGGCCATGCAGAGACCAGCTTGGGAATGCCAGCAGGGCTAAACTGGACATTGCCCCATGCAAGAACACGTGGCAAACTCTTCAGCTCCTTAACTCCTTCCCTTCTTTCACTTCTGTTTTTGTTTCAGCTGGGACAGAATTGTTTTCTTCAGACCATCTAGTATAATGCTATGTTTTAGTTCTAGGATAAAAACAATGCTGATAACACGCCAATGTTTATAGCTGCTGCTAAGCAGCATTGTACAGAACCAAGGCCCAAGGAGCTGAGAGGGAATGTTGCCTCTGGTGGCCCAGAAAAGACAACTGTTTTGATTCTTCATTAAAAGAATACTAATTTTAGTTTTAGAGGTTACAAGCAAAGCTTACAGCAAAGCAACTACCTCCCTGTCCTTTGCTTCTTGCAATAAGCTTATATAGCCTCTGACCAAACATCAACCCCACACAGAATTACCATTACTCTCACCACAATCTCCACTTGAACCCATTTCTCCCCTACACCAGGTGCTGCAAATTGAGAGACTGCCTGAGCTACAAAGTGCTCACATGTGACTCCACTAAAACTACAGATTAATAGCCTAAGCCAAAACATACATAAAAAGAAAAAAGTATTAAATCCACACAAATTAGGAGGCTAACTGCAAACTGAGGAATTAAAACAAACAAACTTCTTTTGTCCTTTTTGTTTGGTTGTTCCTTGTTTGTTTGTTTGCTTGCTTGGGTCTTTGTTTCCTTGCTTGTCTGCTCTCAGTTTTATTTGTTTGCTCATCTGCTGAAGCCTGGAGGTCTGCTTGAGTATTATCTTTATTTTAAAGAGAAACAGAAAACAGAAATTCCAGCACCCTGGCTTTGTAGATTATGGGGCTTTTGGTGGGAAGAGACCTCAAGAGATCATATCCTCCCTCCTGTTTCAACACATCAGCTCAGCTGTGGTTTTCCCCAGGTCAGCTTTGAAAACACCCAGGGAAAGAGATCTGCCACTTTTCTAGTACCTGGGGAGATGTTTTTCCTAATGACCAAACCACATTTCTCAAATTGCAGCCAGCGGCCACTGTCCCTTGAGGTATCAGCTGCCACCATCAAGATGCATTTGGCTGGATCACCTCCAAGTGCTTGGAGCAGCTGCAGGCTGCTGTTGGATCCCCCTGGACCACTCTTCGCCAAAGACATTTTGGGCAGGGAGATTAGAACTAGATGATCTTTAAGGACCCTTCCAATGCAAACCATTCTGTGATTCTATGATTCTACCAAGTCCTGCAGACCCCTGACCTCCAAGATAGCCCAACCAAGCCGAGGGATGAGGAGCTAGGGACCTTCTCGTGGCACACAACGAGATGATGAGAAGGTGAGGCACACCTCATGCTGGCGTGCAGCGGGGAGCCCAGTGTTTTGGAGAGGGCCATCACGCTCCGCCTCCTGGTGAACGTGGGGAGGATCGACGGTTTAATGTTTCACCAGGGACTGGTGCTGTGCCGCTGGAGGCTGCAAGGAACAGCCTTCTGCAAACACGTTCAGAGCATGAGTCAGAAAGCACTTTTAAAGAGTGACCCTCCTATGCCGATGCAGACCCAGCTCAGGACAGCTTAGACGTCGCGTTTGTTACTAAAGAAGGAAGGTTACCCAGAGTGCATCCCAATTTAGCAAAGGATTGGTGCTGGGCATTGAATTTGTCTAAGTGCAAAACAATGGGTTTTTTTGCGCTTTGGGTTTCCTGCACACAGCAGCAACATTGTCAAGTAAGACTTCCTGGTTTGCACTGGGCAGGCACAATGCACAAATTGCCAACATTGAATAGAAGAGTAAAATTAATGACAGAGCTCTCTTTCCAGAGGTTTTGAGACAATCACGAAAACAGCTCATGAAATACAATGTGAAACACTGCTAACAGGAAACGTTGCTGACTTGGATGTGAAAAGCTGCAATATTTTGACTGGTAGATTTGTCTCTGCAGCAACTGGAAAGGGATCCCAGGGAAGCAATGACTTGCATACGCACTGCTCTCCATCAGCCATCCTTTCCCTCTACAGACAGCCTCATCCTGCCCAGGAGCCCAATCCAGCCATGACTCGTCTACTCTGCAGTGCTAACACACCATTCCCAATGGGTTGTCCACACTGGTGCTGCATTTTGTTCTAAAGGGTCTGTTCTGGGTCATCACATCACTGACGAGTCACGTGGAATGAAGAGAGACTGATTTTTAAAGCGGGGGAGAACACATTATGAATAGAAGATGAATTTTCTTGGGTACGATAAATAAACTTTAAACAGATGCATATCCCAGGGAGACTGTGTTGAAAGCAAGCAAGGAGATGAGTGTGAATGCCTTGTGATTATATTGCAGATTAGGCCATTAGCTATGCATTAAGCCTTGACAATTATTCTCAACATTTTTGGCGTATTTACAGTTGCCCTCCCTGGTATATCTTTCCTGAGGCCTATTTATCTGGTAATCTCTGGAAAAATAGATGGGGAAACCTGAGAACAACTTTACAAAAGAAATTTGCAAAGACTTAGTGTTTATGTTACTCGGGAAGAAATCTTTCTTAAATCACTGGAAATGGGAAGCCTGGCCAGCTGAAAGCACGTGGGGAGGGGAAACCCACCCACGGCAACTGCAGCAGTTGGAAATGTTGGTTGAGAAAGGATAAACTGTGAGGAAATCCACCCTAGATCCTTCCCTCCACCTGACTTTTTTTGACAGAGGAAGGTTAATATGACCTGCAACAACGCCAAGTGCTCTGGGTGGGATCCACCTGTCAGAACAGGATTTACAGCCTCAGAAGAGACTTTAAAAGGGACAGAAGTGCTGACCAGCAATGAAGGGCAGCTCTCAGGAATCAAATCTGAGAGCTGGTGGTCCCTCCAGCTATGAAAAAAAGCAGTGAGATAATTCAGATTCTGCTCCAGAACAACAACAGATCCCTTTGGGACACACAACCCCCAGGGAACCATCTTCCTGGTGATGCTTCTGAAGCTCAAAAGTGTAGTAGAGGAAAGGGAAGCAACCTCCTGAAGTGATGTCCAAGGACCTTCAGGTCTATGGGAGCAGCCCAGGAAGGAGACTGCGATGCTCCTGGTGGAGAAACACTCTTATAATGGGAACCCAAAGCACTGCATGGGCTCATGTTGCTCACACAAGGCATCGCTCCCTGTCCAACCCGAGTGGAAGGCTCTGACTTGTGCTGCGCTGAAAGATTTGTGCTGTTGAGCAAATGAGAGCACATAGAGCCCTGCTATGGCCAGAATTATGTCCCACGGTTGTCGACTGATTTATTCTTTTGTCTAATTGTGTTCACAAAGAAAAAAAAAAAAAAAAAAAAAGCAGCTTGCTAATGAATGGAAAAAGAATCCACACGGCCAGCAAAAAAAAAAAAAAAAAAAAAAAAAAAAAAAAAAAACCACCCTTCTTTAGTTTACAAAATAATAAAATAGCACAGTCTTTGGGGGTTTTCATAAGAACTACAGAGATGGTCCAAATCTCGGCAATGAAATCAGATTCCCAGTGGCTGCAAAACTCTTTTGGCTCTTTCTACATGTGTATTAAATTGCAAAAAGCAATTATTTGTAATTTGTTTTTATAAAAATGCGGGTGTGCTTATTCTGCCTGGCGAATTGTTTTGTGAAATGGAAAAAGAGCATTGTTCATTATTTTGGTAAAGTCTTTGTTACTTAGCATATTAAACTGCAAATCACACTTTATCTGAAATAGGGCTGGTTCTAATTGACTTTTTAATGGCAGAGCCCCAAAGCTCCATCTAATACTGAGACCCCGTCTGGTGCCCTGCAAGCAAAACAAGAGCTTCAGACTCAGATGAGGGAAAAGAAGTAGATCCTCCTTGGCTCACAGCTGGGGCTCCGACAGCCAGCGGGGTGCGACGGCTCGAAATCACGAAGGAAGTCTGTGGAAGAGACTGGAATCAGATTTGGTCATCCTTTGGCCTCCAGTGCTGCTGCTTAACCACAGGGCAGCTTCTCCTCTCTGGATAAATCAAACCAAAAGAGAACATTTCTGAATGCTGGAGTCTGACATCAACACATATGCAGATGGGGTAGAGACTGTGTCAATTGTGAACGAGTTTTGGAAAAATGCTGTGGCCTGACTTCAGGAGTCACACCAAGAATAACATGACCACATAGGCAGAGAACACACGGCTCTTTGCACTCATCCTATCCCATCAGCTCTGGCAGTGCCCTGCTGGAACAGAGTGGTGCCTGCTTCAAATGGCACCTTGCTGAGGTCACTTCTAATCTTGTCAACCGGGGCTGTGATGAGCACAGCCACCTCTACCTACTCAAACCTCTCCAGGACCTCCAGATGGCTCTGCCCTCTCGGGCAAGGGATGCTTGTCCCTAGACTCACTGCTGGACAGCGTGTGAAGTCCTGGGTTCCAAGATGCACAATCTGTGTGTCTCAGAAATATCACAGAACCACCACAAAACCATGACAGTTGGAAAGACCAATAAGTTCATCCAGTCCAATCATCAACCCATGCCTGTGACCGCTACAGAGCGTGCCCCCGAGTACCACATCCACCCTTTTCTTGAACACATCCAGGGATGGTGACTCCACCACCTCCCAGGGCAGCTTGTTCTTAATGCATCACCACTTTTTCTGACAATTAATTTTTCCTAATATCCAACCCGAACCTCCCCTGGTTCAACCCAAGGCCATCACCTTAGGCTCATCCTATTGCTGTGACCCAGGAGAAGAGGACAGTCCCCACCTTGCTACAACCTCCTTTTGGGTCACTGTAGAGAGCAAAGTACACCGGAAGCCCAACGTTTATATCCAAAGAATATGCAAGATGTGATGAAAATGGATGCACACACAGACAAAGAAAGCCTCCCGTTCAGCCTTCAGTGTGCAATGTGTCATTCAGCCCATATCATACAGTCACCTCCTGGAATCACAGCGATGTCTGGAATGCAGAAGCTGTTTATCATCTAAATAACATTTAAGCCGTTATAATTTATATGAGAATTGTAAATGATTTGGGCTGTATGAAGCCTCTTGTTGTGGTTTGTTGCAGGAATGCTGCAGATTTCCTCTGCAAACATTACATTCTGCAAACAATGGGCGCCTGAGATGCTTTCAGTTGGTCTCGAGCCTCCTGCATCTACCAAAATATTTTCCTGTGTCAGAATCAGACAATCGCCCGATTTATAACTTTCAGACGTTTGAGAGACCACCGTAACACAATGTAACTGCAGTCCCTCTGCTGGTTGGCTGTCCAGCTAAGCCGTGCACAGCACAAAACAAAACGCGGATGTGTATTTAATGTTCCTGCTAATGCATGTCTCTTTGTAGGGCAATCAGAGAGGCTGCAAGGCACACGTCAGTAAGGCCTCATCTATCCCAGCCCGGTCCCCTACATAGAGGTCTGTGTGATGCTCCCAGACAAACCCCACCTGCGTGCAGGCAGGGAAGATGTGCATACCGTGCCCTGTTTCCAGGTTGGTTTTTCCTTGGGATGTAGAGAGAAGGGGATGGCTGCCCCATGTGCCATATGCTCTGCAGCTTTGGGACAACTTCATGTGGCATGTGGTCACTGCCCATAC